ATTGTAATATCTGTATACGTAACTGCTGCTGTTTGAACTTGAGATGTTTGGGTAAATTTATTTTTGTTTATAGTTGTTGGATGATGAAAACCAGAAAATAGTTGTTTATTAAGAGCTGCATAAATACATCAAAACCTGCCCTGGCCTACTGGTTAGATCCAGCAGGTGAAAAGGCTGCAGATCCTTCTCTGTGTCTAATTGTTGCACTAGGTTGTGATGGGGTTTTTTGGGATAGAGCTGAGGTGCAAATTATCAGCATTCCTGTCTTGATATGGTTTTGGTCTTAATTCTTAAATTGAGAGAAACCTTTGCAGCTGTGGATAGTTTGTTTTTTGTTGTGTTTTGTTTTTCATCCAGCTCTTTACTAGGGTAGGAAACTGTCTGGATGGCTGAGCCCAGAGAGAGGTGGTGAGTGCAGTTACATCCAGCTGGTCCCTAGTGGTGTTCCCAAGGGCTTGGCTTTGGGGACACTCCTGCTTAATGTCTTTATCAATGACCTGGAGAGGGGATCAAGGGCACCCTCAGTCAGGTGGCTGGTGGCAGTCAGGTGGATCACACCAAGTGGAGTGGGAATATTGATCTGCTGCATGGCAGGAAGGCTCTCCAGAGGGATCTGGGCAGGCTGGATCTGAGGCCAAGCTGGATGTGAACCTCTGACAACAAGGCAAAGTGCTGGGTCCTGCACTTGGATCACAGCAACCCCAGGCAGCATCACAGACAGGGGGCAGAGTGTCTGGGAAGCTGCCTGGTGGAAAAGGACCTGGGGGTGCTGGTCAACAGCAGCTGAACATGAGCATGGGAAAAGCAGCCCACAGCTTCTGCATTCCCTTTTCAGGTGTCTCCATGGGAGCAGGAATTTGTTTGTACAAGCCTGGGTGAGAGAAGGAGAGGTGAAAGTCCCTGGTCCCTCTGCTTTTGGTTTGGGTGGCTCCTGCCAGTCTTTTGGTTGAATTGGAATTAATAACTGAAGACTATTGAGAGCATTTATTACACTGTCTTACCCAAACAGAGAAACACTGAGGTTCTGGAGTGTGTCCTGAGAAGGGCAATGGAACTGATGAGGGGTCTGGAGCACAAGTCTGATGAGGGGTGGCTGAGGGTGTTGAGCCTGGAGAAAAGGAGGCTCAGGGGGACCTTCTCATTCTACAACTGCCTGAAAGGAGGCTGTAGTGAAGCAGGGGTCAGTCTCCTCAAAAGTGAAAAGCAATAAGATGAGAGGAAACATCAAGTTGCATCAGGGGAGAATTAGATTGGGTATGAGGAAAAAGTTCCTCACTAAAAGGGCGATGAAGCACTGGAACAGGCTGCCTAGGGAAGTGGTGGAGTCACCATCCCTGAAAGCATTTGGAAAATGTGTAGATGTGTCAGGGAAATGCTTTAGTGGTGCACTTGGCAGTGCTGAACTTGATGATCTTGGAGATCTTTTCCAACCTTAATGATTCTATGAATCCATGGAAACTAGCTAAGTCTAAAACATGTCCTGCTGTCCTTCGGCTGCATTCCCACGGATGGACCACCTCTCCAGGTGGTCACTCTGCTTCGATTCATCCCTCCTGGCCTCTTGTTCTGTCCAGAGTGACCGTGTGTGGGGTCGTGTGATGGAGTGAAGCAGAGCAGTGACACAAATGAAATAAAACCCCACAAAACTGATCCTGTGTGAGGCTGGCAGGAGCAGCCCACAGAGGCTGGTTGGGATGCCAGCTGCATAAACTGCTTGGGGGAAAAACAGCTGTGAAACCAAATTTTCTGCCCTGCTGCCAGACTTGGACTCCACTCCTGCTTCATCTCATGACAGGGCATGTCTCTGTGCTGTAGTGTTTGTGATGTAAATGAATGTGGGGAGGGGTGGCTGAGGCATGGGCTGGCATCCCATCTCCTGCCCTCACTGCTGGGTCTTGTCTCCTCCAGAAGGTGGGACAGGCAGTTGCCTCCTGAACATTTTAAACAACTGCAGGGATGCGAGGCAGAGCCTTGCACCTGCAAACACAAGAAAAGAGAGGGGAAGAAAAAACCTACACCAAAACACCCAAGAAAATAAAAAACAAGTAGAGAAGTTGTGCTCTGCGTTTGTTTTGGCTTTTTTTTAAGCATATAATTCAACGTGCTGTACTGCTGAGATGCACATTCCCCAGCTGTGGTAAGTGGGGTAGAGGTTGAGACACATCTCTGGGGAGAGGGGAGGGTAGTGTGAGCCTGAGTCAGCAGCAAAGGTCACTTGGCTGCAAGGCTTGGCGTGCAGGAGGAGAGGATTTCATAACGTGGCCAGTGCACTGTTTGTGTGTCCAGATGAGGGAGGAACCCCAGCTGGGGTGATTGGGCAGCAAGGGTCAGCTTCACCTGCCCCCTCTGCCTCACAAAGCACTGCTCACTCTTCCTTGCTGCTTCCTTTGCCTTCTCCCTTCCCATGCCCTGACTTCTCGTATCTCTTCAGTTCTGGCATTCAATCTCATCACTGCAGGGTTTGTTTTATGGTCTTGGCTCATCTTTCAGTTCCCGTTTGGGGTCATTATCACATATGATTAGTCCTAGAGCCTAATGAAGGAGATCAGACATAACTCTAGGGTATGTCTGAGCCATTTAGCATTTCTGACCGCAAAGATCTGCAGAGAAAGTTTATTTTTAAGCTTCCTAAGAAGATAAATTTGAATTTTGGATTGTTTAGGGTGCAAGTAATGGAACTGAAATCTCTCTGGGTGGAGCATACCCTCTGGGGTATGAAGAATCCCAGGAATAATTATGCAGTGCTACGTGAGTATCATTAGTCTTGAAATAGCTTTTGGTGGATGGTCACGTTTTTCTACATGGCAGAAGCTAGTGTGAAACCTTGAAACCTTACGTTAACATTTAATCTTCATTTAGGGGCACTGTCAATGTGTGTTTAATACTGCTTTTCCACCCTGGGAAAGCCAGTCACGGAGATATGAAACAATGACACAAAGTAAAAACCCCAGAAAATAAAAAAGGGCTCTTTTTTGGGGCTGTTTTTTAAGGTCCCACTCTTTCATTCTACTAAGAGAGGAAGGATCTGCAAGGACTTGTGTGTTGGAGCAAAGTGAAGTCAGAGCATCCTCAGAACACCTCCAGCTGCTACTGTTTGGTGGCACTGTGCTGCACTGTGTCCCTGACCCGGGTGAAGTGACACGTCTATGCAGTGACTCAGCTGTGTTCCTAACTAACCATCTGCTGATGTGATGTAGCTCATTAGTCACTAATTGGTGTGGTTACCCTTTTTTTAGGCTGTTGGAAGGGCCAAGGACCACATAGATGTGAAGCAGCTGAGTCAGTCTTCTACCTCTTTTGCCCTCAGGTCCACCAGACTCTTGGTGGTGCTTGGAGAGCTGTTTCAAGGTTCCCTGCCAGGCAGAAACAGACTGTCTCAGCTTTATCTTGTATCCTCTGATTGTTTGACTATAAGCCTATCACAGCTGTTTGGTGGGATTGGAGACTGTAGCTGAAGCCTTCTGGTGGGTGTTGCAATGAACCCTCCAAAGGAAGGACCTTTGGAGGCAGTGGGAGACAGCACTGACTTTGGACTGAGCAAAAGAAGAGCTGGTTTCACCCAGGCTGCATTTGCTCCCTTCATCAGCTCTGTAAAAATCCTCTAAGCAATCTGGGGATTTACTGAGGACAGCACTTTCATAATACCTTTTTCCCCCTATTCCCTGCCCATCTGTCCCATACTTCTGCTACAGTTACCATCTTTGGTTCTATCACCTCATTCTTTACCTAATCTGTAGGTACTGGTGTGTTAGGTACTGATGTTTTGGTTTTGCCTTACACGGTATCTGAATTGGTGGCGTGTAAATCTGTCTCTTTTTTGATATCTTGAGGATGGGTCTTTGATGCTGTGTGTAATACCTTGATCCTCCTGGACATAGCTGGATTTGCACACTGTTCTTTGCTTCCTTGTCTTTGGGTTTTTATTTCTGTCTAAAATCTCCAGCTGAATCTCTTCTGGCTGTTGTTGCTTTCCTTGGAGGTTACAGACCCCCTTTTCTGGGCCCAGTGTTGGCAGCACCCTTGGGAGCACTGGAGATGCAGGTGTAGATGCTCATCCCTCATGACTTGATCAGCTGCAGCAAATGCATTTGTCAGCAGCTCAGCTCTGAGTTGTGTGTGTGGTCCTTACTGTGCCGTGAGTGGTGTAGGAAGCCGTGTGGATCTTCCCCCATGTAGGCAACCCTGCCCATCTCCTGTGACATTGCTGAAATATGTCTCTTCTTCCTGCCAAGGAGCTTGGGTTTGGGGCATCGAGTGTGCTGGATAATTCCTAAGCTCCTCTCTGTTCACTGCCTATTTGAGCAATCTAAAGATTCCTCACAAAACTAAAAAAAATTATCAGCGTAGTAATATTTCTAATAGCATCTATTATTTTTTCTCTTCTAAACACCTCTTGTACTTCAGCTAAACTATTATACCACTTTTCACTTTTAGCATGTGAGCTCTTTCTGTTTGTAAGGCAAGCAGTGCTGCTCTTGTATTAAAATGAAGTCCCCTACCTGTTCTGCCCTGATGTGTACCCAAGCCCTGCTCTGTGTGCACCCAGTGTGCTCCTGGAGGAGCTCATGGTGGGGTTTGGGATACTTCCCTGACAGGGGTCAGTTACATGATCCCCTCAAACCATGTGGCAATGTCCATGCTGTCCTTTGGAGCTGATGTAAGTTAAAAGCAAAGCAAACATTTGGGTACATCTAGGGATCAGTGTCTCAGGTTTGTGGGGCACTGCTTGGAAAGCTGATAACCAGCATCTCTAACTTGTGGGCAGCCAGGTGAGACCGCATGAGAACCAAAATGGGGCCAAGGTTTCACAGAGCTGACTTTGACAGCGTGGATGCCCCAGCTCAGAGGGAGAAGTGCTCTTCTCCCTTATCTGAGGAGCCATGAGTGTGCCAAGAGACCTTTGTTCTGAATATTTGGAGTAATAAAGTTCAGCAGGGATAAAAGGGCATGTCCCCACTGACTTGGTTCACACGGTGTTGTGCTCTCTGTCTCTCCTGCAGCTGCGTAAATGAGTATGGAAGATTATGATTTCCTCTTCAAAATTGTTTTAATCGGCAACGCCGGGGTGGGGAAGACCTGCTTAGTCCGTCGCTTCACTCAGGTAAGGCTGGCCACCTCCAGGATTGTGGAACGTTGGGATGGGGACAGCCCTGGTATGGGAGCGTGGAGCCTGTGGCTCTGCACTGAGGGCTGTGCCAGTGTCACAGCTCCAAAGCATTTTGCTGTTCACACCTTTGGGCACATACAGGGATGTCCCTCATACAGGGATATACTGGCACAAGCAGCACATCTGTATCTAATGCTGCACCTGGCCCTGTTCTGGAGTTTGTGTTGGAGAAACCTCATTCCTCTCTGAAGGTGGAATGTCCCCTTTGAAAGCCACCAGGACAATTCCTCCTGTTTTGGTGGTGTTCTGGATCAGTAATATGACTAACACATCTCCTGGTCTCCTCCCCAACCTTTGCTGCACAAAGCACTCCCTGTTATTTGTCATCAGTAAATGAATAATCTGGGTTCTGAGCTGTCAGTCCAACGTCTATTTTTGTGACAGAATAGCCTCTGTGATCCAGGGCAGGGGAAGACTTTTCATGAAGCATCATAAAGCACAAGCTGGGGGGTTTTGGTTGCACTCTCCACTAGGAATTGTCAGCAATTTTACTTTCACTGTGAATTTTAGTTTTGAAGCTATAGTGATTTTAGATGCTCTCCAAAAACACGTGGCAGACAGTGGCAATAAAGCTAGTCATACCCAAAAGGTTAGCAGCAAAAATCTTTGCCAACTTCTGCTGCTTGTTCTTTGGCAGCACAGCTGCTGTAGGGGATGGACATGCCCAAGATCAGCGTGACTTGGTAGACCAGAAATCAAAAAGCTTTCATTTCGTTTGCTGCTGCTCCTTTCTGATGGTGCAGCAATCAAATACCGCCAGCATTGCACTGTCCCTTGCCATTGCTGTGGCACCGGTGATGGCTGGCTCTGTGCTTTGCTCCTGGAATGCTGTGCAGAGGTGCAAGCCCATTGTTGAGAGCTGCCAGAAATGCCTGTCGGTGCCATGGGGTGCTGTGGAGGCAAAAGGGAAAGTGTGAGGTTGTAAAAGGTTGCAAATGCATCTCATCCCACACAGATGTTCACACATCTTTCACTGCATTGGGAAGTAGGACGGAAGGTCCTCACCCTTCCCCTGCTTCTCCCAACTGTACAGAAGGGCTTTCCCCCTCTCTTTTTTCCTCCTTTTCTTTTCCTGTGTTCCTACCTCTGAAGTCAATAACTTGCTGCATAACTAGGGATGTTTAAGGCCGGGAAAATGTAACAGGGTTGAATTTATGGTAACCTTCATTCTGGGGAAATGTGACACTCTAAATATGATGGAAGTGCGTACCACGGGAAGGGGACAATGGATGAATAGTTTTGAAGATGGAAAACGGTGAGGATTGGCACCCAGTGAGACTTTTGTCTTGTAGAAATAAGTTTAATCAAACTTTTGTTTTCTTCCAGGGGCTTTTCCCACCAGGGCAAGGAGCCACGATTGGGGTTGACTTTATGATTAAAACTGTGGAGATAAACGGTGAAAAAGTAAAGGTAGGAGCCTGATGATTTAAAGTGTAAATTCATGTGGCAGTACCATAGATGAGGTTTCTTGCTGAAGCCCTTCCACTGCTGGAAGACATTTAAGGAAGGTCAGGGCTGTCTGGCATGGCTTGGGCAATGCAGGTTCTAATGATCTGTGTGCCACTCTCCATCATTACTATCAGGATTGTAAAAGTGACCCTACTGGAGGGGAGAAAATGGAAAAGGGAGACCTTGCAAAACTGTTGTCCTTGCTTAAGAGACAGGCTTGGATTGAGGAAGTCCAAACAAGAGATTCAGTGCAGCCTCAGCTCACTATTTCTGGTATGCAGAAATTTGTTGCATTCCCATTGGGATGTGCTTGAGGAAAGTTTCCTGTGAGCTCCAAGATGGCCATTGGGGAGAGTAGATGTCTGGACTTGCATGGTTCTGCACAATGAAGGCTCATCTTCCACTTCTGCCAAGTTATGGATTTGGGAGAAGCAGAGCTGATCACAGTACTTGTGTTTCAGCCAACAGGTTGAACTGCAAAGGGCAAAGTTCTCCATATTTTTAACTCTTTCACCCTCTAAAACAGGGTGGAAGACACTTTTGGGAAACTGTCCTTGTCCTGAGCTGACTCCCAAACTGATCCTGAGCATCACTTGGCAAAGAACTACTTTGCCTGGGCCAAAACACACAAAGCATGAAGTTGGTGTCCAATTGGAGACCAATCTCATGCTGTAATGGGGTCCACGGTTGGGTTCCAGAGCCCAGAAATGCTGGCTGCTACCACTTCGTTCATTAGTAGGGGTTTCACTTCAGCTGCTGTGGTATCTGAGATGAGAAAAAAGTAGTTATTTGAGCCTCTAATATCAAGGTGTCTATGGTCCCTGAGCTGCTCCTGGGTTTACTCTGCCTGCATAAAATCCAGGGGCACCAAAGTGAAACCCAGCAGTTTCCCCTTGCAGTCTTTATCAAACCAAATAGTGAGCAAATGCAAGAGTGGCACCAGTGTGTGGCAGTGGCTGGGTGTGACACTGAAACCTGTTATTAAGCTTAAGTGATGGGATGGAAACAGTGGACTTGAGCAGATTTTCAGCCCTGAGGTTTTTTTTAACCTGGACCACAGCACCACAGAGGGGTTTTAAGAAGAAAATGGGGTGTTGTATTGCTAAGTTTAGGATGCATTTTAAGAACCATGGTCTTGTCAGCAAGCTGTGACTCTGCTGCGTGAGGAGCTTACAAACCTATGGGAAGTGGTGGTGCTTCACCAGGAGACCTTCCCACCTGAGCAGCTGAAGGACAAGAGGTAGAAAATCCCTCACTTGATAAAGCCCAAGTTTATACCATGGCTGTGCACATGGGCCAGAGCAGCAGGCAGGGATGCAGTGAGGATCACGTGTGCTGATCAGGATCAGGTGGTGCTGGTGCTCAGCTTTCTGGTTGTGATGCTCATTAGCAGGGCTGGCCAGGACATGAATGCTGCTTGTCCCAAGCTCCTCAGACAGGAGAGATGTTTCTCTCAGCCAAAAGCAGCTCCAGTGCAGCAACTCAGAGGATCTGAGCTGGTAAATGGTGTAATCAGTGTATTGGAGGTGGAATTTGTTCTTTCTTGTTTGTGTAGTTTAAGTCAGCAGCCTCAAGACTGTCATGGTCATTAGAGGGAGAAAAGCAGTCCCGAGGGACATGAATCCCATCCACTTCAGATACCTCTCCTTTTCAAGAATTTGGTTCTCTGTCAAATTCTGCTGGAGCCTTTAGAACATCACTTGTGTGTGAGGTCTGGGGTTTGTACTGGTGAATTTACCCTTAGGATTTGTCTGTGTTTGTATAACTCCATTTGGGCTGAGGGTGCAAAGTTCTTAAGAGAATATTGGAAGCAGTTGTGCCAGTATGAGCTGCCTCAGGGGCAAGGATGGTTCAGGGAAGCTCTACAAGCTAAATGAAGTCTCTGCTGCCCTGCAAATGTCTGATGAATGCACAAGTGTCCTCTCTGAATCACCTTGGGGCAGGATTGTGTCACAGAGCCTTAGCAGGTGCTAGCTGGTGTATCTGCTATACTTCACATGGCCAGTACTGGGTTTTAAAGTCCTCTCCACCCCCACCAGTATAGTAAACTGGAGTTGCTGGAGCTCAGTTTCAGAGACTTTGATGAGCCTTGATGGGAGCTTAGTATGATACATTCGGGCATTGGAATGAGCCTTCTGGAGGCTGGAGGGCAAACAGATTGCTTTCAGTGGTCTTGTAGCTGAAACTTTTTGAGTATAACTGGTGAGAATAAACATTAAATGAGAGGGGAAATCAGGAATGAGTCAGAGAACAGAGCTGCTCTGGCTGGTAGCTCATTTAGCAGTGCCTAAGCCACGACTCTCTTGCCTCTGTGCTGGACAGCCTCCCCTGAATGTCTGCTGGGATCCAGAATGAGGAAGCAGAGCTGTTTACCAAAAGAGTTTTCAGACTTGAAAATAAATTATGGATTTCTGGGGAAAAATACTTTGCAGCTTTCAAAATAGCATTATAAAGTCAGTGGAGAGGGACTCACTAGTATGAAAGCTGTGTGCAGCTTTTCCAGATATGAGCAGCTACCAAAGCTCACTGCCCAATGAGCTGACAGAGCACTGTGCAGTTGTGAGGGGATTTTGATCTGCCTGGCTTCTTCCAATAAACTCCAAAAACATGTGCAGCACTTGTACCAAGAGGGCCCACAAATTGAAGCAAAGCAGATAGCAGTTACCATGCTGGTCAAAGCTAAGCATCCTCAGTGCTGTGAGTAGAGGGCTGTGCTATATGGGCTTGGTGGGAAGCTAAATGTGTGTGCAGATGTTGGGAGGGTGGGAAGCATCAGCTGACACCAAGAAAATAAGCATCTATGTTTTCTGGAGGCTGAGTCAGACACCATCCTTTGGTTATTCTGGGGGGGGAAAGAAAACTGTACAAATAAAATACTTGCTGTGAAATACTTTATTTGACAGAAGTTACCAGTGAGGGAAAATGTGAAATGTGCATTTTGGGTGCAGGAAGAGTTTATCAGTGGCTGCAAGACTGGGGGCACTTCCCTGCCTTCTGTACCCAGCTCACAGGTAGACTCATGTCTGCTCTCCCCAGCACATTCTCTTCTGCTTTCAGTGTTTGTTAGATTAAAGCAGTGGAAGAACATATTCACATCAAGCTTTTATCAATTTAGACATCTTCTCAATAAAGGCAGAACATATATAAGTTGGAGTATATAGCCAGTAGACAGTGAGAAACAACTGAGTAACAACAGAATTATCTGTATCTTTCCATCTGCCAGAGTTTGGAGGCTGGTTTGTTTTAACAAGGACTCATTCATTATCTGGTTTTCATGTGCAAGTAATTTCACTTATGGTTTTGTGTGTCACTTTATAGATACCAGGTTCAGCCATTTAAGTACAACTATGCCAAGAGATTTAAGCACAAAGGTGCCCAGGAGCTGTGAGCCAGCCACAACTACTTTCTCTGAAAAAAAAAAAAAATTGCTTTTTTTTTTCCCCCAAAATTATACCTCACATCTAAAAGCTGCTACATTTCAAACTAAATATATTTATGATGAGTGGCTGGTGTAGCACAACTTCGGAACTGGGCAAAAGTAAGGTTTTCTCTGTACAGGCTGCTGAATATATGGAAAAAAATCTCAAATACTTTACCTTTTTCTTCCCAAAGTACACAGGATTTTGGCTGGAAAACATTATTCCACATATTTAATTCCAGGGAGAGGCGCTTTAAAAAAATAGAAGCTGAAGCAGAGAAATACTCTTTTAACTTGAAATTATGTTAATGGTGGATGTTTTTCTTTCACTTCTTTTTTGAAGAATTGAGGTTTTGATGATCCACTAAAAACTATCAGATGGTCAAAATATAAAGCCAGCATAAGTGTAGTTTGTATTGGGAAATGTATGTTGTTTTCATGGTTCCAGAGGGTTTGGCAAACATTCATGAGTTCTTTCATGGTGGTGAGACAGGAGCAGACTGTCCAGGGAGGTTGTGGATGCCCCATCCCTGGAGGTGTTCAAGGCCAGGCTGGATGGGGCTTTGAGCAACCTGGTCTGGTGGAAGGTGTCCCTGCCCATGGCAGGGGGTTGGAACTAGGTGGACCCTTCCAATTCAAACCATTTTAGGATTCTGTGATGTAGCCATTTCTACGTGTTGGGAAGGTGAACAGTGAGCAGCTGGATGAGATGGCTGAAGCTGTAGAGAGGAAATGCATTCCAAACCTTAGATAAGCCTTCAGCTGAGCTCCTTGTTCAATACTGTGCTTTCCACCCATCACTGCATTGTCTCTGGATAACTGCAACCAGCTCCATGATCTAGAGGAGAGGCATTCTTATTCCTTCTTGGGAATGGAAGCTGTTAGACTTCAGGGGTGGGAGATGTGACTCTCTCCCTGTAGCCCTTCCAGGCTGGGAGTTCTGCCCGCTGCAGAGAGAGTTGCAGGGAAGCTGACTGACCTGCAGCTTCCAGGGCTGTCGGCCACAGTGCCAGCTGACTTTGTGTCTTGCATTTCAATCCACAAGTGCAGGAACAGAAACAAATAATGCTGGGGGAGGGGAAGCCAAAGGGAGAAGAGCAAAGTGCTTTCCCAGCATTGGTTTTACCCTGAAGGGCATGCTTTTAGGTCAAAATGGTGCTGCTATCAAATGAAAAAAATATAAATGAACTTTTTTTTCTTCTTCTTTTTTGCCTTTCCCCACCCATCCTTGCTATGGCAAAAGCTGCAGATCTGGGACACGGCAGGCCAGGAGCGGTTCCGATCCATCACGCAGAGCTACTATCGCAGCGCCAACGCGCTGATCCTCACCTATGACATCACCTGCGAGGAGTCCTTCCGGTGCCTGCCCGAGTGGCTGCGGGAGATCGAGCAGTACGCCAGCAACAAGGTCATCACCGTGCTCGTGGGTAAGTGACCGTGGCCCCTGGCCGCCAGGGCTGCCTCAGGGGGCGAGCTGTGCGTGCCTTGACCCCAGTGCTCGGACCATCCTTTGTGTAAAATAGCCCCAGGATGCTCAAAGTGGTGCTCAGGATGCTACGGACACCTCTGGAAGTGTGGTCCTGTCTTGGGTCCTGTGTGCAGAGGGGGATGCTTCCCACCTCTCGGTGCATGAGGGACTGAAGTGCTGATGGTGCAGCTACCACCGAGCTAGGAACAGAGCAGTTCCCCTTGTGACTCCAGGCTCAGGTCTCCACAAATGAGTGAGGGCCTGCTCGAGCTGGTGATGTCTGCAGCTTGCTATACTCCATAGGTGTGGGACAGCCAGTCCTGTCTTAAGTGCTCAGGATCTGGGAGCCACACCAGGACCTGATGGTTGTGTGGATCATAGCGTTCATAGGTGGGGCAGAGCTGGGAAACTGGATGTTCTTGCATGGATTTTAGGGAGGCTAAAAATAAACAACTGAATGTTATATTAATCTGTAGAGCTTCAACTCAAGGCAAAACAGACCTCGGGCCATCTGTCTGCTAGAAGCAAGGGGAAGGTTATTTTGCCTACCAGTGCTTTTCCATGCTCTGCTTTCAGCATCTGATAGTTGGGACTTGGCTTTTAAAGGTCCAAGAATATATAAAGAACAGTGGAAAAATAACTTGAGAAAACGAAGAAGTTTCATGCTACAGTGTCACCTTTAATAGTTTGCTATTTAAATGAAAAAATCTAGGTCATTGTAAGAGGTGTCTAAAAGTGTATTTTAAAGGAAAAAAAAATCTTTTTAGTTTGCCCCAGTACTAATTCAAGTGAGCTATGAGGTTTATAGAGCTTCCATACAAGAAACTCCATGATTATTGCCTGGGTACAAATGGTGCAGAAATAATTAATAAATGACTAACAAACGTACATTAATTCTTCAAGTGAACATTAAGTTAATTGCTAGCATCTACAGCACAACATATAAATTGTATTTTAGTCATGACACACCCTTTGAAGATGGTGACACCCAAAAAAATCACTTGTGTTGAGTGATAATCTGTTTAGAGGGGAAACTTCAGTGCATTCAGTGGGTCTAAGATGCTGCTTTATTGGGAAAGGAGATCTCGGATGAGGGGAAGGCAATGAGAGAAGGCTTGCTGGTGGAAACACTGCCTTTTCTTCCCACGAGCTCTCACAAAATTGCTGGTAGGAGTGGGGCCAGGAGAAGTTTCCTCCTGAACCTGCTGAGTCTGTGGACAGAGTGACCTTGTATTGCCGGTCCTGGTCTGTTACCTTCGTTGTAAGATTAATTTATGGCAGAAACCTCATGTTTGAAGTTAAAGGGCCAGCAATAGTGTATAATCATATCAGATGCTTGCTTGAGGCTTTAATCAACTCTCTGCTAGACAGATCTCTGAACCAAAAGGTTGGTTTCTCACCCTACCTCACTCTGCAAGTGCCCCCCAAGCCCATCCCTCTTCCAGCCTCCACAGCCAAATCCTATACTGGAATATTGAAATAGGGAACCTTCTTTCCATGCCAGGCTTTTAAAAAAGCTTGTAACAACATGATGAATATCACATTTAGTGTCTCATATTCTATAATTGACATTTTAAGTGCTCCTCAGAGCAAGCAAAGGAGAATTTTCAATAGATGTTAACATGGAAATCCTTTAATGTTGGTTGATAGCAGCAAACAGATGCCCTGGTGCTAAATTAAAGCAAACTGGCTTGGATGTTCACAGGGCATATTTCATTACAAGAGCTGATATTAAATGGACTCTGATGTTTCAGGGAATCCATTATTTGAAGGGGAGAGCAAACGTTAGGAGTTACATATCCAAACTACTGTCCGTACATATATCAAACCAAACCCTTATTTATCCTTTACAGACCTCAGTTTCTCTTGGTTTTGAAATCAAATTAACACATTTTCTAAAATATTTTATCAATGCAGGTAATAAGATTGATTTAGCTGATAAGAGGGAAGTCTCCCAGCAAAGAGCTGCAGAGTTTTCTGAAGCACAGGACATGTACTATCTGGAAACATCAGCAAAAGAATCGGATAATGTGGAGAAACTCTTCCTGGACTTGGCCTGCCGGTTGATCAGTGAGGCCCGACAGAATACCCTTGTGAACAATGTCTCATCCCCCTTACCAGGAGAGGGGAAAAGTATCAGCTACTTGACTTGCTGTAATTTTAATTAAAGAGCTGACATGTGATTGCCCCTTCTGCCATGGGCCAAGTGGATTTTTCTTTTGTATGCTGGGATTTATCTACTTGAAGGAATTCCTGCCAATCTGACCCATCTGGCTTACTCAGAGTCAGGTTACAGTCCTGGAAACATGGCAGGCTGATGGCTCCAGCTGCATGGCAATGTAGCAGAATACAACAGGGTTTAAATTTCATTTTTTCTTGCAGTCTGTGGAGCAAGTCAGGAAAGGAAGAGTTGCACAAGTGCTTCATGTAATGCAGAACATGAGCTGTTTTGTTTCCTTCTGTGGGAGAGTAGACCAGCCTTTCTTGAAGATACTGAAGAGATCGAAATCTCTCTTACAGAACAATGTGTCTGATCCTTTTTAAAGTAAAACAAAGTAAGAAGTGCAACAATGAATGCTGACTTTGGACTACTCTGGCAATCTAGGCTGTCAGTGAGTGAGCTCAGAGGACATGTACATAACGTCTGACCCTGCGTCTTCATGGAGGACTCTGGTGTTTGAAATAGTGTTATGTCTCTCATCTACAGGCACTTTCATGAATGTGGAATAAATGAAAAAGTTACATATAGCAACATTTTCAAGATTGAAGAAGACATGGATATGACCCAGTTGCTCCCTTTGGTGCTAGCAGTTCAACAAATATTCCATAGGCCAAATGTAGTCTTACCACATTACTGTCTTCTTTCTGAATGTGTAACTTAGACTGGCTAGGAAAAAACACTAATAAGCACTGTTCATAGAAATAAAAAAGTCTCATTACCTCTTTTTCTAGGCCTGAACATAGTGGGAAAGGACTGTGTGCTTCTTTGATATCCAGCAAAGGATGAAAAGACTTTCCAGAAATAAAAATAAATAAATAAATTAACCATTCCTCTAATTAGTCATGTCCTGATGTAAAATGTTAGCCTTGGGAAAGATTATTGGTGGACTTGGCAAAAGTGCACCAGACATGACCAAGGGCTTGTGCATGCATGGATGGCGTATAAGGGTTCACAGGAAGCGCAGTCTGGGCTGGCAGGCTGCAATGTGTTCAGCTGAAAAACAAAGCTCTTGTTGGAAGGCAGGAGTACAAATCTGTTGTAGGGGGTTTGTTTGATGGTAAGTGGGAATAGCAATGGGTTGCAAGTGGCGTCCTTCCATGTCTGCCCCATCCAGCTCTCACCTTGTGGAACTGCTTTCAGAGATGCTCTTGATGCTCTCTTCTTGGCATCCGGTCCCTCTGCTAGGGTAGCTTTTAGGTTCAGGGCTGTAGAGTAATTTTATTTACCTGATGCTTTGTACCCTTAATCCCAAACTCTGGTATGTGTAGCTGTTTACAGAACCACCAAAGTGGAAGCACCCCAGAGTTTGTGATGTTACTCCACCTCTAGTGCCATACAATGCATTGCAAATTTACACGTTGGCATGGGAGCGAAAGAAGATAGTGAATGCGCACATAAATGATTATATTGAGGAGTTTGAGTTCAGTTTAGCTAATCTGGATAAATATCTCCTGGCGATTCCATGGCTGTGATATGCTGCAGTTTAGAGTTAATCAATTTAATATTATTGGGCTTGTACTGAAGATTATAACAGAGCTTTTGTATTGACATAAAAAGCTGCCAGTAAGTACTTCTTTGAAAAAAAAATAGCAATTAAAAAAAAAAAGAGGCATTTTGAAATTTTTTTTTTGCTTCCTGAAAAGATTTTCTTTGGGCTGTATAATGTTGTGCCTTTGATATGTAACGGGGAGTAGACTCTGTGTCAGAGAGAGGGGGGATTGGTTTGTCATATGGCCATTTTTAATATTTTCTTGCTATTTTTAGTAATTTTTATGACTAGTGGTAAAAGGAAGATGTAGAAGTTGTGGTATGAAGCTGCTTTGTCATTTAGGTAACATTTAGCAAAGAGCTTCTGTAAGAGATGTTGGGGAACACGTCATCTGCTGCTCTGCTCTGGTCCATTTCAGTCTCTGCTCATGTTGTAATCCGAAGGATTTGGAAATGTGTGGGACTTGGTGGCTTCTGCTGTGTCTTTCTTCTTGAGCATGCCCCAAATTGCCAAATACAGCTTCATTTGAGCTTGTGAAGAGCACCCAACTCCAAGACAGCTGATTCTGCACAGCTCTTAGGTGGTTCTTTAGAGCAGGGCTCAGGGTGTTCTGTGGCAGGTAACACTCAAGTTAAAAATCAGCACCATGTGTATTTAATCTGTAGTAGCTCTTACTCTCTGAAGCTGGACCTGACAGCATATAATTGGTAACAAATAGGGCAGAGCTCTTTGGTCAGCTTAATCAAGGAAGAAGGAGACTGCCCAGTAAAACACCCGTGGGTTACTGAGCCTGGTTTCCAAAAAGATCAAAGCTGGGCAGGTACTCTTCATCCCTGCCAAGCTGCTCTATAAATGCATTTTAAAGTGCTCCTTGCATCACTTCTGGAATTGGAACATGACTGAACAAACTGAGATGGTCAAATAGCAGAAACAGCTAACTTTATTTTCTTGGATATTTACTTTGAGATTTCTAGAAGCCTAAATCTTTTCCCAGTGCTTTCCTAATCTCTAGGTGACTATTTTGGAGACTAGCTGCCTACTGGCAACCTCAAAGCACTGGTTCTTCTTATTGCTAGTGAATCTTTGTGTAAGGACTCCATCTCCAGACAGTGATGTGCTTTTGTGGCAGGGTGGAGTACTGCGGTTGGGCTGATGTTCAAGTGAACGACCTGACTTCTCCAGTCAAATTTGAACTGATTCCTGTTAGTGTTTATTCTGTGTGGACTTAAAAAGCTGAAAGGAAACAATGGTGGTATGTGCAACACTTTTTACAAGGTCATAAACCAAAGCTGTAGTTTGAGACTCACCTCTCTTTCTGCTGTTTGCAAACACACCTCTTGTTGAAGAAGTGGTGTTTTATTGGAGTAACTCCTTTACTGGAGTTATTTTTGCACACCTCTGAATATCTCTGTAGTGCATACAGCCAAACTTTCCTTGTAGCACTGAGGGCTTCTCCTCTACAGTCTGATCCACTGCTAAAGGCTGCACAACTGGAAGAGGAACTTTATCAACTGCAGAGTCTTGAAAAATAAAAAATCCCAATTATGTGATAATCAGCTCTCCAACTAAACACCTTGGTAGATTTTTTGTGAGAACTGTCAGTAAAAGCCTTGTGACGCTTGCTGGGTGAAATATCCAAAACCCATGCAGAATTGATATAATGGGGCCAAATTTGGCTTGGAATGTTCTCTACTATCACAAGAGCCAAGCTTTTAGTGTGGTTGCTGTGCTTTGAGGGTGATATATTCACAGCCATGGAGTAACCTTATTTCTGGCTGAATGTTATTTTTTTAGTAGTCCTGTAATGAGACCCTTTTGTGACATATTTAGCACTATGGTTATGTCCAAGCAGAAGCCAATACTGGAAGATCAACAAATATTTGCTTAATCCAGTTAGCCTGTTTGCAGAGATTGAGAGAAGCATCTCTGAAAACCAGATGGTCTAAGCTCTGATTTCCAGTGGGAGCCACTGATTCAGTCAGCCTGATCTTGAAACCAAACATTCAGTGCTTCAGATCACTGGGTGTGAAGTACTTGCTGTGAAGTTTCACGCTGGGTGTTGACACAGTTTGCTGGGACAAGCCATGACTCCCTTCAGTCCATATTTGTGTTCCCCCGTGAAAGTGCTAGGGGATGAAAAACCCAAATAAAAAAACCAAACCAACCCTTCGGGTCAAAGAAATAAGATGGAAAAAGTGAAATTATGTGCTCTGTAAAGAAAGGGAATGTACTGAGTGCCTCTTCCTGCCTCAAACCCTGAAGCCTTGATTTGACCTCCAGGTAAGCTTCTTTGAGCATGCAGATACGTGTTTGTGCTGAATGATAAATGGCTCTGTGATCATTATTTAATGAAAAGCACACGTGACAAATTGTCAGGCAAGATACTTTGTTCTTTGCTGTAGAACACATGAAACAGCCCTTAAGATCTGTCAGCCTGCTGGTGCTGTTTGTGTTTTTTTGGAGATGGCTGTATTGGTAACACTTGGCTCCTGTTAGTCTAGGTTTAGCAGTTAATGGCTATTGAATTCCTTCAGCATCAGTAATAACAGCAGCAGACTGGGGCTGACACAGGAGACAGTGATTTGAAAAGAGGGAAAGTCGAGGTTAGTGATGCAGAAGCACGGTGGGTGCATGCACATGGGACAGCAGGCTTCCCAGAGCTTTTGCTAACAAGGGATGCAATTAGTTAGAGTCAAATCCACTGGATTTTGCCTTGTTTGTTATCCCTAAGGACTGCTGTTTGTTCAGCTGCCTTACTACTTGTCTTCTCTTCAGTGTGAAGGACTGTCTGTAAGTCAGGCTGAAATGTTGAGCTGGCATGATTCCTGCACTCAGAGACTGAAGTCAGTTGGAAAATAGGTGAAATTCTCCAGCTATTGAAGCAGGCTGAGCAAACACACAGGATATGCTGTCCTTTGGGACCTGTGGTGCCATCAGGGTCAGATACGGTTGGAGCCACTATCACAGAAACCCTCTCCTGGCTGTGGGGCAGAATGAATGCTACAGCCATTTCTGCACTGGAAAGATGACCCTCTGGAGTAGAAAATGCAAGTAAAGAGATGGTTCCACGTGCTCAGGATTTTCTCTGTCCCATCCTCTTTTGAAATTGCAACTATGGATTCAGTTTTGATCACTTTGGGCTTTCATAAAGGTCTCCTTTGAAATTTAGTCTGAAATTCTGCATTCTTTTAGTGTCCAAGCAACCAATATCTTTATGTGATTGGCTCCTACCACCCCTACCAACAAAGTCCTTTTTTGAGTTAATTCAGTTAGAAAAAGATGTTTCTAGAGGATACTTTGTGAATTTCCAGTGAGCAAGTAAGGAAACTCTCCTTTTCTAAGTGTCTCTGTACATAAGGGCTCACCAGCAAATGCTCTGGAGCCAAAGGAAATACTCTAATCAATTCTAGTAGTGAAAACCCTGTTAAATCAAAATCTTTTCTTCCTCTTTTTATAAACTTTGTTGTCTCAACAAATTTGGGGTTTGACATCACCCTTTTTCCTTGCATCTGTTCTATCCTCTTGTTGCTGTGAGTAATAATTGTTGTAGCTGCTGTTCAAGGATCATCATTTTGAAGAACAGTCATGTCTTATGGTGATGAATGGTGGGGAAACAATAGCTTGATTTCTTATAAACAAGTAGTGCATCCTTAGCACAGCAGCCTCAACTGGAACTGGTGATGTCTTTAAAATGCAATCATCCAGTTGAGCTGTAGCTAAATGTACCATAAATGTTACTGATCTCACACCTGCCTCAGTTTGGGATTTGTGTTGGCTGGGAAAGCAGGCAGCAGGGTAGTCATGCTGACCATGATGCAGGACTCCCAAAGCAGCACCCTGCCTTGCTCTGACTTGCCCCTCTAATCACCACCTCACTCACCTGACCCAAAGTTGCCTTTGCTGTACTGAACCATATTCAGCTGGGATAGATCACCAGCTGTCATCACTCAGAGATGCCATCACAACCTTTCCCCTCATGTGAACGAGCTGTAACTTAAACCAGAAGTAAAAACTATGCCATGTGACTCATAGGTGTGTGCTTCTTTCCGACTGGGAGCCACATATCCAGAAAAAACTGTCATCCCTAAAGCTTGCTCCTTCAGATACAGTCAGTGGGATAACTGGGGGAAGGTAACCTAGAGAGAGCAGAAAATGAGATGGCAATGAATGTAATTTAAGCTGTAAGCGTTGTCAGTGAAAAATTAGCCTGGTTTTAGGAGCATAGCCAGGGTCAACAGCTCAGCTTATCTGTCTGGATGAACAGGAGCTGGGTTTACAATACTCTGAGATTGTCTCTGTTTTCACATTAATAACTTGCAATTGGGACTTGGTGGATGTCACCACATTTTTTTGAACAAGTTATCCTTTTCCAGTAAGTTCAGAAGATAATTTTAGCTCTGGTTAGTGCTACAATATTGCTCAAAAACAGATGCCAGATTTACATTTGCACCTTTGCTTTTTCCACTTCTGCATTTCTTGGGGTAACGTTCTCAAGGACATGCACACTCATGAGTACACAGTGGTGGTGTCCCTGGTGAGGATTTTCTGAACACTTGGTCCTCAGGCAAAAAATGATATGGCCAAAACCTGTGTCAATCATGGTTTTAGCTGTGCATGGTTCCCTGGGTCAGAGGGGATGTTAAAAGTGTTCTTATGCTTTCATGGGCAGCAGTTGAGGGCTCTGGAGTGTTTGGTGTCACATGAATGCAAACCTCGGCACTTTTCAAAGCTTGATCCCTGTAGTACCTCTCATCAATGAATCTGCTCTTCTCTAATTACTGCTCATGCCTCAAGCACTGTGGAGGGATGATCTGATTGCATGAACCACTGGATCTGATTCCTGCTTTAGTTAGAAAGAAGAGCATCAGAGGCTCCTTTTCTGTGCCACCTTGAGCTTCTTACTATTGACATAAAGTTAATAATTCAATAAACCCCTTCCAGCCAGGACACCCTGTAAGGAATACTTCCCTTCTTACAGGACCAATAAAAGAGATTCAGACATTAAGAATTGATGGGAGTTTGGTGTAAATGAGCTGCTCTCTAGTGAGTAGGTGGGTGCTGCTGTCCATCTAGTGAGACTTGGGGCGGTGTGGAGGAGGAGCTGTGGCTGGGGGTTGCTGTAAATGTCACCGAGGGCTGCGCTTGCATCATTGGTATGGAGCTTTAGTAAATGCAGTGTCCCGCAGTGTCCCAGCAGCTGAGTCTTCACAGAAGGGCAAGCAGAGGACAGGGAATGCCAGTTTTACATTTTAATAGAGGGGGAGTAAAATACTTGGTCTATGGTGGGGAGAGCTGCTATGCTTTACTGCCATTGCCTCAGCTCTTGCAGACTGTTGGGAAGAAAGGGTTACCACTCACCCCCACACAGAGCCAGCACTGAAGGGGGAAAAACTAACTTCTGAAGCCAACATTTTAGAGGAGAAAAAGCCCTCTAATGAGAGTATGGAGCAAGCCCAGCACTTGTTACTATGCTGATTGGGAGTGACAAGTATATCTCTGGATATTAGGGAAGTAGTTTAAAATATGCCATAGTTTTTAGCATAATAAGATGCACTGCAGATATGTCACATCCATTTTATTCTCCACAGCTGTTTACAAAAGGGAAAAAACCCACCAAAATCCTGAGATTGGAGCAGCTGCAGTCACTCAGCTGTCAATATGGGACAAGGCTCTTTCTGCTCTTTTATTTCCACTTCACTCTGTTCTGCTGCACATATTTGGCTGTTCTGTGAATTTGCAGATCATGAGATTTTTTTCCAACTGCTTTTGATCTGTACAGAAAGACTCACCCAGCTCTCATTTGAATACATTAATATTTTGAGTAGGCATTTTAATTTTATGTTTACTGGCTTGTTTCCCTTTGTAATGTTATCTAACTGACAAGTTTGTCATGCTCTGCATTACCTTTAGACTTTTGAATCTAAAACATTTCCTCTTTCCTGAAAGCGATGATAATTTTTAGAGATGCTACAAAGGCATCTTCATTTCCTCAGGAGAAAACCTGAATTACCCTCAGCTTTGATTACTATAAAATCAACACTGAAGCACGTAATTTCTTTTACATCATGAACAAAGTATATTTTATGCCATCAACTGTAGTTTGAATTGTAGTTTAAAAATCTGCTTAAGCACTAACAGCAGCATTTTGTTTGTGATTTCCATGCCAGGGAAGTCAAAGCATTAAAGGAATTTTCTGTGTTGGAGTCTTTCCCACAAAGGTCTGCTGTCTTTTCCCCAACAATTGTGAATGTAGCACAATGTACAGAATTTTAGCAAGAACCCTGATTCCTAAACATTTGGCCAGAAGGATGAGGAGAGGATGTGGGTTTTGTTGATCAAGCACAACCATTTCAGTGGAAAAAATGCACTACATCTGGTCAGACAATTGATTTCGTTGGTGGGGTAATGCTGTCTTTGGGGAGGGTATAGGTGTTAGCAAATCACCAAACTGTGAACCATTCACTGTCAGAAGCATTTGGTTTGTGTCTTTAAGTTCTTGTGGTCAAGTGTGGTACGGTGGGCTTGAGAAAGGAATGTGTTTTGGATGACCAGGATGATGAATGTATGATGCTTCACGTTTATTTGTAATGTTCTTTTTATACTTAGAAATTGCTTACATGTGTATCTGTATGTAAATAAATGTTTAATCCTTTCCACTTGGTCTTTAAGGTCTTTCAGTTGTTTGGTTTTTGGTTTGCAAAGCAAAGTTGCCTTAAATACAACACATTCAATTGATGTGATTTGACATTAGACCAGCAAACAAATGGCTACTAAAGATTTTCTGCTTGGGCTGAGCATACTGAGGCTCTTGCACCACTGAGACCTCACAAGAAGAGCACATGTAGAGCTGCTGCCCATGGGAGCCAGGTCCCTTTGAACTAGAAGAGAAAAAATAATTCCAAGTAGGAGAAATTATAGATGTAAGAAATGCCAGCATCAGGCACTAGAGGGTGGCCTTTGACAGAGGCACCATCCACTCACTGACCTTGCAAACCTGTTGCAGGTTAAACTCTTGTCCTAGCAAGATGCTGGATTTGTGTAGTATAAATACTGAATGATGGTTGGATGCTTTGTTCATCTTTTATTCTTTGACCCAGTCACTTTTTTTTTTATTATTTTTTTTAATGCCATCCCTTCTGTTGAGCCTTCAAATTGCTGTTTTCATTCTCATTGAACTCCACTGGAGTTCCCCAATAACCAGCCTTCCTCAAGGCCTTGAATCCTTTTGGACAAGAACTCCCATTTTAAGATTTTTGTCTTTTGGTGAATACTTAAAGTTTGTGCTCTGACTCTTTATGGGGATCAGGTTTCCTCCCCTGTGCTCTGCTCCACATCAAAGATGACTCCTGCTAACACACTGAGAAAGGAGCTGTGAGGCTTGAAGACACTATGTGTCTTTTATTGCCTCTTCCACTGACCTTGAAGCTCCTTCCTTGGTAAATGTCTGACATGAGGGCTGGACCATCTGCTCTTCCTTCCCCAGGAAGTTGGCAATTTGAGTCAGTGAGATAACAGAGAGGTATTTGGATAGGGAAAAGTCCCAGTATGCTTCTAGGTAGCAACGAGGCAGAGAGGTGAAGGAAACATCCTTCAGATATTCAGACCTCTTAGGAAGTGAATATTTACTGAAAGAGAGGAAGGCTGCAGTGTGCTGCTTTTGAGGGGTGAAGGCTGGAGAAAACAGACCAAGCTCTTCCCGTGGAAAGGTAAGTGGCAGGTGAAGAGTGGCAGCTCTTCCTTCCAAGGAGTATGTAACCAGTGGGATGTGCAACCTTCTTGTTCAGCAGGTGTAGCAGCAAGGGTACAGCCTGTGCCAGGCTTTGCTGAGGGTGAATGGAATGTGAGCTCACAAAGGCTCCCTGCAAAAAGGGAACAAGCTGCCCAGGGGAAGAAATGCAAAGCTGACTAACTACAGGAGTGAAAGCAAGAGAGCTTTTTCTGCCCCTCTTCCATCCTCATGGTCAAAGCTCCCTATTGAGCATGTGGGGAGCTCTACCCAGAAGATGTCACCTTGCTGACAGGAGCCTGTCACACAACAATACTTTCTGCTTTTCACTCTGTGTGCAGTCCTCTCGCACAAAGCACAGGAGATCTGAGTGCCCTGCTTTAATTTCAAAGGTATGGCACAGACAGTCCTGCCTAATTTAAAATCTAGTCTTGATTTATGGATTTCTATGCATAGGGAATCAATCACAAACCCACTATGCATTTTCAGGAGTTTTATTACCCTCAGAATTAAGCATGCTGAGCTTTAGACTTCTTGTACAAGCTTATAATTATAATCACATCAGCCTGCACCAAAGCTATCACTTACC